TTAAGCGCTTTGAGCGAACTGAAAATATTTTTTGATTTTAAAATAAAAAACTGGGGTATATTTTTTCGATATCGAAAATTCTACGGCTCACCCCCTACTTCACGACTTCACTTCTTTGGGACCACCCTAGTATGCATACACTTGTATACGTATATTTAGTTTCTGCTCATTCCATTTTAATAAATTCATATGTATGTATATGTGCATAAAACTGCTGGTATCATCGCACTATCATCGTCGGCTTTATGAAAAGCATTCATTTTTTATGGCTTAAATTTTTTTTGTTTTCCCAATTCCCGCCGGTGCAGTTTTACATACTCAGTTACTCGAATGTTCTGCAGCGGCGAGTCAGTGTGGGTTAGAAGGCAAAGGCAAAAGTTGTGTGTTTTTGTTTTGCGAATGAATCTCATTTACATGTTTGCCTGCCTTTACTTGGCTTTGTGTTTTTGGCCATGAAATCGTTTTTGCTCAGGCGTTGACATATTTTATTTATGTCTGCTGTGGAATTTAAGGTGTGACAACTATGCTTTTACAAAAAAGGACAATATTTACATGCATAGCTCATGAACTTTGTTATGAATTCATGGCATAAGCATAGCTGAGCGCTGGCAAATACTTATGGTATGGTGTATTACTTGAGTTCATAAATATGTTGAATGTGTGCACAAATAGTTGAAAGAGCGATGGTGAAAAGCGTTTTGCGGGATTGGGCTTTAGGTTTGTAGAAGTGAATTTGAGAGTGGCGAAAAAACTTGTAAATATGTTCTTAGTTAGTTATTTGAACTTTTAGATAAATGCAGGTGTGCATTACATATCTCGCTGAATATTCGTATATTATTATTTTGTAGATTTCGATAACGATAAACATTTCAATTATTTTCCTGCGGTGATAAATAATTATTTAATGTCGATAAATTCATCGGTAGTTATTTCTATAATTTTGCCCACCGCGATATCGGTAATAATATCCATTATTTTGTTTACAAAATTCCATAACTATGTATCGATAAGTTATCGATTAATATGTGTATAATGATTTTTATAAAACCTTGTGTACAAATACCCATATATTCTCAACAAACACTTTTAGAATTTAATTTGATGAAAGCTCCTAACCATTATCTCAACTTAGTAAAAAAGATTAGAAAAAATTCGAAATCGCAGGGGCGCTTAGAATACCATATTGGAACAGACCTCTAGCACATTTCTAATTTTGAGCAAGAAATGCCGTTCAGCTTTTGCTACCTGCTGTATGCAAAACTAAAAGTCATAGTTTGCTTGTCATTTCTAGGCTTGACATTTTTTACGTAGTTTATTTCTTCTTCGAGTGTATTCAAATTTTCTTCGGATTTTTTCAATGCTGTTGGGTATTTTTAAAGAGTTTTTGGTTTATTAGTGTTTTATCGTTTCAGGTTTTTTTCGCGAGTTTTTTGTACATTGTGGATTTTCATAAATCTGGATTTTTGCTGCTTTTTTGCGGCAGTTGTCAATGTAATTTGAGTTTTATTTTTCCGGCCGCTTTCTTATATCTCTTTTTGGAGTTTTTTGTAGTTATCGGGGCTTTCTGTCGTAACTATTTTTGATTTTTGGGACTTTTCGTTATATAGTGTAAGCCCGATAGAAAGAACCGAAGTGTCTACCAAAATGCTGTACATAACGAACTAAGCAATACTGAATATGTTGAATTAAGAATCCCGCTATGAAAAAAAAAAAACGAAACCATACTTATAACGAATTAAAATAGAGAATTGCCTTTTGATTGATATTCTATAAATATAACAAAACTATGTACATAACTTATACATGTATGGCCAAGCATTTGTTCATTCCCTTCAACTTCAGTATATCAAGGTGTTACTGGAGTTTTAGGAACTTTCAGGACTTTCCAGGAATTTTTAGGTCTAAAAATACTTAAAGAATTACTTTTGTTTATAAATACCTAATAAATAAATAAAAAAAGACCGACAATCTCGCCAGTTTTTCATGACTTTTTGGGAATTTCCAGAGGACTTTCAGCCTCAACCACATCTTTTCAAGACCATTTCCAGTTTTTCGAAACTTTTCGGTATTCGTTTTTGAGTTTTCAAGATTTTTGGGGAAATTTCAGGCGTTAAAGCAATAAGTCCTCACCACAAAAAAAAATTTATCATTTTGCCTTTTTTACCTTTTATGCGTTTATTTTTAAAATTGTCGAATATTTGGCAGACTCTAAATTTTTCGGGAATTAAATTTTTGTAGAAGCTTTCAGTATTTGGTGGCAAATTTCTCGTTCACAATTACATTTACGTTTTAACTGTGCCTTTTGAATGCTTGAGAATATATACATAATAAATTGTTTTTTTTTCAGTACTTTTCTGAACCTATTCGATCCTTCTTCAGGTTATTCGTGTTAAATTTTTAGAAATATTTTAGAATGTTTCGACACGTTTTTGGTTAGTTAGTATTTTTCTTAAGTGTTCCAGAATCATAAGTACTTTTTCCGACCAATCCCAATTTCCGGAACTTTTTGATGTTTTGCCAGGAGCTTGACGACTTTTCCGGGACTTGCAGGGTTAAAAGTAGGCACACTTAACTAACTTGTTATGAATACATGAAAAACTTCAAATAACGATTTACTTTTGCTTTAAAAATAGAAATTACAAACAGTAATTAATTTCTCTTGTTAAAAAGTACAACATGAGATGAATAAAAAAAGACATGATAAAAACACAGTAGCGTAAAACCGTTCTCTCATGGCCGAC